ATCTAATTGCGTCACCTTTCTTTTGACGTTAAATTCTCATTTCTGCAGCCCCCCAGACATTTATATCAACTTGACTTCGAATCTCAGAGAGGAGCTCACGAAGGCCAACAGAAATAACATCCGAATCGGCTGCAACTCTTTTCATGTCACCCACTCAGACTTTTTCCATATAGCCGTCTCAAATTCACTCAAGACTGTTAGCATTTGTGTTTCAGGCCACCTCCCGCCGCTTAGGAAGCAGTCCTTGATCGAATTTTCGTCAATCCACGACGTTCAACTTCCCCTGCTCCTGACATACGCCAAGCAAGCAGGGGAGAAAGGGACGACCCCGCCCGACGCACTCAGTACGATCACTGCAATGGACTAGTGGGTTGGGGGTGGGTCGCAGTCCCGCCCANAATGGAATCCCTTCGCCGTGAACATCCAGACTACAGGGTTTGGGTCACCGGACATTCGCTTGGGGGTGCGATTGCTTCACTAGCAAGCACTTGGATTCTCTATAACCAACTAGCACCGCGGAGGGAGATGGTGTCCTACACTTTCGGCATGCCGCGGGTTGGCGACTACGATTACGCATTACAGCATGACGTACTCGTGAACAACAGCTGGCGAGTGGTAAACGTTGACGACCTCGTGCCGCATTTCCCTAGTGTCGCTTCCCCCTCCATCTTCAACGGGCCTTATCATCACGGCATCGAAGTTCACTATCACGACGGTGCCTCCAGTCCGGACTCTCCGCACAAAGAATGTCACGGGAAGCCGTACAACGAGGATGCGTCCTGCAGCTTTTCTGACTTTCCATATTCCATCGAAAGGCACAAGTCCTACTTCGGCATTGGAGTTGGAACGCATTGTAATAAGAACCTAAGAGGAGGTGAAAAAGCCAAATCTGAGTCGCCCATTCAGGAAAACTCGTCCTGGAATCCAAAATTCTTGAAAAACGAATCCAAAGTGTACACGCTCGAGAATGGGTTCTACGAAGAGATGGGAGTTAATCCAAGCTCGAAATTGAACGCAGGGTGTCCCGCAGTGCAGAAATCAACAGCTTTGATATTGTTGGCTGCATTATTGGTTGGCTCCCAGAGTGCGCTGCATTGAATATGCCTCTGGAACATTTTCCTTGCGTTGTTTGTGCGCATGGAGCAGAATCACCTGCTAGAACTCGTCTCCGTTTCATTTGGCACAAAGAAGCGTTCTAAGGATTTATAACATCATTTTCCTATTCTATTATTTGCTCTCCTACTGTCTGCTTAAGGGCTTGGTTGAATGCCTTGGACATCTTTTTCTTTCGTCCACCGAAAAATCACTTCAGGTTATGTCGATTTGTCGCTTTCGCTATGGCTGAAACGTCCGCATCCGATGTGCGACGGTTACTAGCACTGTTTTTGCAATCACGCAGTAGTTTGAATTAACTTGATCGTTTGTGGATATAAAAAATTACTATTCGCCAGATGGAACAGGTTTCATCCTTTACCTTCTCGACTTTATTGTGTTCCAAATAAATGCATATAGTCCCCTACTGATTCTCGTACTTTTAATTTATTTGCATGATTTGACTTTTTGGCCTGTCTGGCCTATAATTCTGCTACTGTAGCCTGACGCGAGAAGCCTACAAACCAACGCCTTTCCAGGCGATAGGCAAGGCGGAAGGAAATGGGACGATGCGTTCTGGTATGTCGATTGATGCGGATGGGTCAACTCTGCTTAGGTTATTACTTATACCATGATGTTTTACTGATTCTTGGACAATCACTTGACCTTCAGGTGAAATAAAGTTGTTCCACAGCATTTTTTCGCCCTCGCGGCACAGTTCCCCTGTCGTCACACAAAGACCTAAATTCCTCGGATCCATGGTCATGGCCAAGTCGATGGTACGGACGATATCTCGAATTCGTTGTTTCAACGATCTCCACCACCTCCATTGCGACGAGCGCCTAAGACTTCAGAAACTTCCCTTTTAGAAAATTCCACAGGATCGGGAGCCTGGGAACGCAGAGCTTCCTTAGTCGTGGAGCTTCCTTAGTCGTGGAACTCCAACTCTGCGGAACGAAAATGTGCCTAAAGGAAGAAAAGAAGACAACCTCTCAGAGACAGAGAAAGGTCTCAGAGACAGAGAAAGGTTTTTATTTTATTTTCTCAGAGTACAGTATAACAATGGAATCGGCTAAAGAAAAGCCATATTCAGGGGTAAATTATTACTATAAAAAAACTCGCAAAGCAAGGAACATTTTTGAAAGACTTCACTATATGCCCTCGATGACAGGTCAGCCAAATCATAACTCCAGGTCCTCCATGAGTTAGCATAGAAAACGAACCATTTCTCAGCACTTGTTATCCTAGTTCCTTTCCGGACGAATCAACACCTTCAAGCCTGTCGCCTCATTTTCTGAACATCTACAGTATATGGAACGACATAGACGGGGAAAAAAAAAAACCAGAAACTGTTTTCTTCCTCACGACCGTATCCACATGGATACGGTGAATGAATGAAACCTTCCGTGGTCCACCCAATATATTCGTCTCTCCCATTCACCTTCTCCCACTTTTCTTAGACCTGTTGAACATCTAATTGCGTCACCTTTCTTTTGACGTTAAATTCTCATTTTTGCAGCCCCCCAGACATTTATATCAACTTGACTTCGAATCTCAGAGAGGAGCTCACGAAGGCCAACAGAAATAACATCCGAATCGGCTGCATCCCTTTTCATGTCACCCACTCAGACTTTTTCCATATAGCCGTCCCAAATTCACTCAAGACTGTTAGCATTTGTGTTTCAGGCCGCCTCCCGCCGCTTAGGAAGCAGTCCTTGATCGAATTTTCGTCAATCCACGACGTTCAACTTCCCCTGCTCCTGACATACGCCAAGCAAGCAGGGGAGAAAGGGACGACCCCGCCCGACGCACTCAGTACGATCACTGCAATGGACTAGTGGGTTGGGGGTGGGTCGCAGTCCCGCCCAAATGTATGCCATTTTTACTGCCGCGATTTGTCTACAGATTGACATCATCTCCGAATATAACTGTTCAATTTCTGGGGAGTGAAGGTTCGACGATCAGTGTATTATGTGCGGAATCCGGTCTGGACCGAACATGAGATGGACCAACCCGCCAACATAGGTCCCTGGCCATTTTTTGTCTCAATGGCGCACAGACATCATCTTAATCAATTAGGAATAGTTACAAATCGAAAAATGTCCTACAAATTATTGAGAGAGTGCATTGTACCATTGCTCAAAACGTAACTACGGAACCCAGGCGAGACGAAGTCTTCCAAGGTAACTTCGGCAACTTCTTCGAGGAAACTTTAAAGGTAGGCTTTAGGAGGACTTTTGTCCATTCTGAGTGCTTGCTCCGTTCTTTCATGCAATAGTCCAGATTTCGCCAGTTCTGTCTCGAGGGAGAGAGAAAACGAGTAAGGCGGAGAGAAGGGAAAGAGAAGAGGCAGAGAAAGAAATCATTGAAAGAAATTCATGCGTAAGACCGTGCTGAGGCCTCGTGTTCCCATGCAGGCACAGAGGGGAAGAGCGAGGAAAGAGGGAGTGCGAGGACGCTTGATGTGTGCCTGCCAGGCCCTCTCAGACCCTCATTCCAGGCCCTCTCAGACTCTCATTCCAGATTCTTTACAATCACTAGAGAGAAATTTCGACTCATTGGAATCCTATAGGAACCTAAAGGAATCCAATAGGATCCTATATGCCCCATAGAGTTCAGTTTGGGACCTATAGAGTTTCCTATAGAACCTAAATATCCCCCTATAGAACCAATAGGGTTCCCCATAAGGCCTATAGGTTCCCCATAAGGCCTATAGGTTCCCTATAGGACACAAAGGGTTCTGTATAGGACCCGTAGGGTTCCCTATAAAACCTATAGGGTTCCCTATAGGACCTGTAGGGTTCGCTATAGGACCTATAGGATTCTCTATAGGACCTGTAGGGTTCCCTATAGAACCTATAGGGTTCCCTATAGGGCCTATACGGAACCCTATAGGACCTATAGGACCTATAGGGTTCCCTATAGGTCTTATACGGAATCCTATAGGCCTAATGGTTCCGTTTGAAGTTCTCTTCTAGGCCAATAGATGGAAGTATTGGGTTCCCACATTTCTCAAAGGGAACAAAAGTGCCCTCCCCTTACCCAAGAAATCATCTCTCACAAGAGAGTTTTGTACGTCCCCAAATGTCTCGCCTTGCCTCATTGTAGCAATGAATAAACTTCGACAGTTCCTTATTTGTCATCCCCATCTTCACAAAAGTGCCCTCCCCTTACCCAATGAATCATCTCTCACAAGAGAGTTTTGTACGTCCCCAAATGTCTCGCCTTGCCTCATTGTAGCAATCAATAAACTTCGACAGTTCCTTATTTGTCATCCCCATTTTCCAGATATAATCATGGAGTCCCGTGAAGAAATATGCCCCCATTCCTTTTGAAAACCACGTACGAAACTGAGTTAGACTCTATCCAAAAGGAGTTTCAGTAAAGAGACGGGCTCGCAGGTTCTGTCTTCTAGAGAGTGCAATGCCCTCGCATTGCATTCTCTCTTATTTTTGTCTCCGTAATCCGAAGGCGACAATACGCATCGCCGAGGATTCAAGTTGCTAAGCTAAGCAATACAGCGACGCTTCCTCATCATACTGCTTCGTTAGACAGGCTAGTGATGAGCTTTTACGGCTTGTTATGACGAATTTAAATGACTGAATTCTTTATTATCTCCCTCTACTTTCCTCCCCCCGTCCTGTCACTATTTTATTTCCATTACACGTGAAGTAACACAATGCCGGAATTGAATATACAATTTACGTCTTGAATGAGACAGCGACGGATCAGGGAAACCAAGTAGCCTGCTCAAAGCTCGTGCCCCAAGCCTTTCAGACTAAGGGGCACGGAAACCGGTGTTCCGCAGGCCCGCTAGTATCGGCACGCGAAATTTTTGGCGGCCGAATTCCAAGAAGTTTCCGCACGGGCGCCGAGCCTCCTTCGTTCCGCGTTCATCCATCGGGGGGATGTCGCGCGGGAAAGAGCGGGAAAGCTCCCTCCATTCGACATCCAGTGTTGGAGCGATGAAGGTCTCCGGCGGTTTCGCTGCCTTCGTCTTCCTGCTCTGCCTTCGCGGAAGTCTTCTGCAGACTTGTCCCTCGGCTCCCTCATACATCACGCGTGAGTGGACCTCATCCTGTGATCCAAAAATGATTTCACTGGAATGTTGCATTTGATGCGTGTGATGAATGGACTCACTATGGATTTGCCTTTTGCTAAGATGAGAAATTTCGTCTCAGTTCCAATAGGATCTGTGAAGGATTTTTTTTTAACGAACAATTTCCCACTATGGGCGAAGCCTACTTTCCTTATTCCCTAAAAGGTCATGATATTCATCACACAAGAATCCTAACTTCCATCCCAATGACCTGAAAGCACCCGCAAAGTACGTGCGATTCTGACATGCAAGGCACGAAATTAATCTAAATTTGAAATAATTTTATAGGCAAACCTACTCAAACCTTTGTGCTGATCTACATCCTCTCCCTCTCTCTCCCTCTCTCTCCCTCTCCCTCCCTCTCTCTCCCTCTCTCTCCCTCTCTCACCCTCTCTCCCTCCTTCTCCCTCTCTCCCTCTCTCACCCTCTCTCCTAAGAGAAAATTCAGAAGCGTAACTTGACCGCCTGAATGATAATTCCTTAGTTTCAATTAATTGCATCACATTTTCATCAGCAGCGCCAATTCTGTCTATTCTGTATATTACAAGGAAAATGAAAATTTGACACGTAGCTATAGCCTTCAGCAGCTTCGTAAGAGAATGTTATGTTCATTGATATCATAAATGTCGTTTTCAAATCGGAGCTTGACTCCTCCGTTCACACTGCAGGTTGTGGGTCATTTCTCATCCAATGAGGCGCGATCGAACCGTACATAACATGCCGCGAGGCGCGGATTGGTGCGCGACCGGGATGCGCGTGGCGGCAAACGTGCCGGCGGATGATCGCAGACGTCTGGTCGAGATGGCGAGGCCTTAATCGGACGTAACTCGACGAGAGTCCTTGAAAGAATAAAATGCATGATAGAATGAGTTCTCGGTCTGGCGTGGGGACGCAGCAAATAAGCCCCTTGAGAGTATTTCCACCTGTTGAAGCGATGTCCACCAGAGGGAAAATCCACCCTGGAAGGATAATCCACCCTGGAAGGATAATCCACCTGGCTCGAAATACACGTGCGCGAATGGATTGGTGGATTTCCACTGGAGGGACGTCCACCTGGTTCCAAATTCACCCCCATCCACCAATTTGTTTGACGAGGTGAATAGGGGGTGGATGTTTTGTTATGGGAAGCTTCAAGTCGACATCATTTCGATGTGTTTTCCTTCCCCGTCGTTCTTCCAGGCAGTCATAAAACCGCAAGTCACCTCCATAGACACGAGACGAGAATCTCCTTCCTACGGTTTTACGCATGGACGGTGGCTTGAGTCTCTTTTCCACCAGGCTCCGAGGGGTGTCGATCGAAATGCAGAGAGTTTTTTTCTTTCGTATCCGGGTGCATGGGATGATGGCAGCGTCGCAGCTCTCGCCCACTTTTGCATTGCCGCTCCTCCGCGTCTCTCGTGGTTGAGGCGATCTTCGGATCGAGGTGATTGAGGCGTGATTGAGGCGATCTTCGGATCGCCTCAATCTCCCAGGATTCACGCGTCTGCATCGCGTGCGACCTCATCGGTGTCACATCACCCTGCGCCGCTCTTCAGCATTTCTATTTCACCGAACTCTAATGGTCGACAGCATTGTCCAAAGAATTGAGAGAATGCGCGATACTCGGAGAAATTAGGATTTCCGGAAACCGCATCTCTCTCTTTTCCGAGCAAAGGAGCTGATTGTTCGCAATGAAAAGAGCCGACGCCTTCACGCGTGAGCCCCGGAGCTAGCCGGGGGGAAGAAGGGATGGCGGTTGATCACGTTCTATGATTCTATATCGTTGATCTTCCTGTCTTTGTGCTTCTTCGATGCATTAATTTAAAAAAAATTTGCCCTTTCCGTTACGTTTGGTGTCATAATGCGACGGTTTCATGATTGATTTAAGCATCTTTTTAGTGCACATATTTGTCTGAAATTGAAATAAATCGCATCATTGTCCGTCGTGCATTGCTCTATGGAACGGTCGTATGGACAGTTATGGAATGTAAGCCTTTTCGAGTAAAGTTGATCGAAGAAAAAATTCAACTTTAACTAACGGTGACATGGATTTCAGTTGCAAGGATGAGAATTTAATATAGCAAATATACATACCTTTTATACGATTCCACGATGTTGGTGGTTAAGAGATGCTCCAGTCAGAAGCTTCCTCTCGAAACAGACTCACACAAAACTGACTGTATGTGATTGAACAAATTTCAGCCAACTTTGCCTTACATTCGCACAGTGCCAGGTAATCCCCCCTGCGGCCAGTCGAATCTGGGACGAGAGGGCGCATTGCACATCTCGGCGAGACAGCACGACCCTGCGAGTCTGACCTGGTACGACCGCCTGTGGAACGGGTTCCTGGGAGTCATCACGAGACCCTTCAGGCAGGAGAGTCCCCTCATCGTGAATGGATCGCCGGCCACCATCGAGGAGGCACCGTTCATGGTGCAGATGACAAATTACTTCAAGAACCAGGCTGGAGGGTGCAGTGGCTCCATCATTGGGTCTCAGTGGATCGTCACTGCAGGGCACTGCATCGCTTTGAACGGGTGAGAGCGCAGTCTTCCTTTTCACGAAAGGAAAATGTCTTCTTTTTTCCTGACATGCTGTCGCGTTCTGCAATTCGACGACAAAAATCGTTCATTAGTCCTGAAAGCATATAGCGTGTCAAATTGCCAAGCACCAAAAGTTCACTCAACTTCATGGAAAATTTACGAATTTAAACCCAAGACAATATACAGTATGTTGAAATTAGATGCAAATTAGATTGCCAGGCAGAGATTCTTAATTCTTGGCCAACTTGTCAACTACGTTCGACCTTTTCCCTTTTTTTGCCGTTTCCTGACGATGTTAAACCACCCCTTTGCTGAAGGACCTGAATGAATGCATGCATTAAATAGGTTCCCTGCCTACAATTGGCTCTAATCCAGTTTGAAGAACAAAATAAGAGAGATTTCATCGAACACATATCAATTCTTTCGAGATATCGAGAATATATCAAATATATTCTCGTTTTTTAAATTAACCTCTTTCCTTCCTACAGGCATTGTATGCATCTCCTACGCCCAAAAGCAGATCCCATGTTCATACTGGAAATGACCAGTAGATACGAAAAATTTACTCTGGACCTAATATGCTGCATTTCTAGTCTGTGGGGAATCTATTTTGTCACGGAGTGCTGTTGAGAAAGGAGTTTTCGAACCACACTCTGTCATGATTTCTCATCGCAAGTTCCTTTTCTGATTTTGCACCCTCGAAAGTTTGTGAGGGAAAATAGCTGATATCACAATGAGTGCATGGAAGAGGATGGGGCACATTCGGACTGGAAAAGACGAGGAATCGAGGTGAATCTTTCGGGGATCTTTTCGAAGGCTTCAAAAGCCTCATCTTCGATAGAAACATTCCTCTGAAAATGAAAAAAAAATTTAAGCTTGTAATCCTTTTTTTTCGGAGCGAACAGAAACAATGGAATGGACTAAAATCTTCCAACATCGTTAGACTATGTACTAAGGATTCATTATCCGCATCATGGACTCAACGATTGGATGGTGATTCTGATTTCTTCACGAAGAGAGACGACCCCCAATGTGACGATCCATGTGGGGAATGCAGATCGGACTAATGGAACTGGAATCGTCGTCACCACCTACAAATATCACCCGAATTTCAACTCAAGTGAGATCTCTTTCCGGTGTTCCCAGTCCTTACTAGTTATATGTAAAAACTGCATGGATCCAGTGACTTCACTTAATGCATGCGTCGACTTTCCCTCAGAAGTAACTCGGTCCCTGACATTATCAAAGGCCGGTCGCGTGCGAATTTCCCTCGAGTTTCTCTCGAGTCCAGACAGGACTGATCCTCTCCTTGGCGATTGGGTGCAGCTGCTCGGAACACCCAAAATCGCACCAGCAAGTACTTCCTTTCTGGAACCGTCAGTTCAATTAGCATGAATGAATTAGCTAGGTGGAATGTACCGCGATATCACGATGCGGTTTTCAAAGTATGGTCACCTTCCTACGTCTCCCACTGATTAATAGGAAATACTTTTTAAAATATGAAATCTCCGAGGCATCGAAGGTTTATTAGCAGATTTTCTTTAATAATGCGAAGAACTTTAATATGAGAAACATGTTTACGTTTTGTCAGCTCCGTGACTGGGAAAAGTGGAAAGTCATTAGGCGATGATGCTGGTCTGCCCCCTTCCACACTCTTAGAAAATTAGAAAATTCCGAGCTTTTGGTGGAGTAAAAAGTGAGCACACCGTGAGCTTTTCGAATTTACTCTCTTATTGCTCACCAAATGCTCCCTCATCGCTCGTATT